TGTGGCCAACCCACTTTTTGGTTAAGATTAGGGCTGGGTAGGAGTTAAGGTTGTCATGTTTTGATCAAAGTTCTCCCCACAGAGATGTGTGTGTGTGTGTTTGTACATAATTGATTGTTGTTGCCAGGTTTGGACCCTCTTTGGCCCATGTTTGTTCACTGTTCACACTAATAAAAGTTTACTTCTCTTCATCATAATGTTATTTTTGAGAAAGTATTAATTTATGGAAAAGTACTTAGTTTCTTACAAAAAATGTTATTGCTTCAAAAACATTTGAAATAGCGATTATTTTGAAAATGTATATAAGCCTAAGAAACTATGGCACAAGCAGTTTTTGAACTGTTCCAGTGGTGATTCCCATTTAGTCACATCAGCTACTAATAGAAAAAAAAAACAAACAGGCGATTAAATTTTTGATAAATAGTAATATCAAATATGAACTACTTTGGAGACTCTAATTTTGAGACTTGTGAACATCTCTGCATTAGAGCCCATCAGGATTCCAGATACAACACAGGTAAGGTTACACACGACACTCGGGAGCACAAGTGTTTACACTAACAAATACATACTGTAGAGCTACTTATAACAGAAGATATACGGTACACGGCTCGTGAGCATGCCGGGATACGGCAGTCCCACCGGCACTACAATATGTTATATAGTAGTACGGTAGTCAGAAACCCCAGTGTTCTACAGGTCTCAAAAAGTTAATCTAATTCATTTTCTGAAATTCTGCAGTACCTATAGAAAACATCCACAAATTTATAGCTACTGAGGAGCCATTACCACCTAAAAATTCTGGAATCACATAAATTAAAAAATATTTCATTGATATTGAGAAACCAGAAAATAAGCAGTTTCAGAATGTTTTGAAGGACATTCACCAATGGGACGATATGGATTGTAAATTGCTTTGGCAAGATTCACTAGACATTCTTGGACTGAGACAGATCTTGTACCATTGATTAGTCTCTCAGATCTTCCATCCCCAGGAGAGGATTGATGTTGACCCTTCTTGGCTACAGATTTGAAGAAAAGGAGTCAATCCTTTAAAGAATGGGTCCATACCTTTCAGCAAACACCCAGAAAAACATAGACCAGGAGGCTGAAGGCTGTCAGCCTATAATCAGTGTCTTTTCGCGGGCATGGCTCTGAAAGCTTTGGTTTCACATTTAGCACTATGCGTTCCACACATTTAAAAGTGATACCTCCTGCAAACCTCCTGGAATGTGCCTTGGCCTGGATCCAGTTAATTTTTTTGTGCAGGAGCTCATTGCAAGAATTAGGGTTAGTTAACATGAATGCGAGCTGAACTGGTCATGCTCTGGTTGTCAAGCGAGAAACAGAATGTACACAGTTTCAGCCATTTTGCACCATCTTCCAATGGAAAGCTACTCATATTTATGCTAAAAGCATAGCTAGGGTGCCGTTTACCTTTTTTTATGTGTAACACAATCTTGATAGGGGCATTTTATAATCTGACATGGAAAGAGAGTAAAAGATGTGTCTCATTTATGTTGGATCCTCAAAGCTTCAGGGGTTGGAATGAGAGCTTTAAAGTTTTGTGGGCAATCTCCTGTCTTACACGTTAGCCACGTTTGTTCTGGGAAACTTCTGTTACTTTTAAAGGCCATGTGACTGTTTGCAAACTGAGTGACAATGGGCCACGCAGTGCTTCAGCCTCTCTGGCAGATATAACGAGAAATCTCCGAGAAGCGATGTGGCTTTGGGGCAAATCCCGTTGTGGCAAGTGGCCCCAGAGGTCACCCGCTTCGAATGAAACATCAAGGGGTCGCCTGTGATCTTCACTTTCCTCCTAGTCTTCCAGGAAGTGGGCCATTTCCGTTCTTCAGGCGGCCTCGCGACACGGAGAACCACTCACGACCAAAGCAAGCAGACCCCTGCGGTGAAACTCCTCCATTTTACATGAGCTTGGAGGACCCAGACAGAATCTGCTCGGCGAGATCTGTCGTTGTGGGTTGCATAAGACACTCAGCTTAATTTCTTTTGATCAGGAGGCATGGTGCCACTTCTGTTGGGCCACAGTGATGGGATCAATTGGGCACAACAAATAAAGAATATATTCAAGGCGCATTGATATTCTGCTGAAATAGATTTCCCGCTGGAGATGGAATTTGCAGGAATGACAGTGATTCGGCTGCCGATGAAATAGGTGTTTTCTAATTTGCAGAAAATAGGTCCATTGCAATATATGGAAAAGTGAGAGCTGTCAAATAAAATGTGCCAAATGCAGAAGTGTATGTGTGTGTGTTTATACATGGACAATTAAGTGCAAAACTCATACATGCACTTACTTTCTGTGAAGTATCATTTATTATATATGTACGAACCGTTTTAAATATCCTCACTGAGCCCCAGAAGGTGGTGCATGAAAAAGAGGTGGAGGCCTTTATCTGCCTGATTGTGTTTTTAAAATAGGTAACTCTATGGTAGCTGAACCTGGCAGCATTGAGCCTTTGTAGATTTGATAGTAATACTAAAATGGTTAACCCCAGGTCAAGGGAATTAGCAATGCTCAAATCGAAAACTAATTAAAATGCTAAACCTGAAGCAATGTGTCTTTGGCTGCACCCTTGTTAGCATGTCAACATTTTCAGGCAGGGTGGAAGAGGTTCCTGTGTCGTAGAATCTCATTAGCACTCTCACTTTGACACTTGCTTATTTCATTCGCCAAAATCTCTTCAGATTCTGCTCTGATTCGTCACCTCAGGCAGTTATAAAAACCTGTGTTTTTTTCTATAAATGCCACACTCCGCAACCCTGACAAAGATAAGTGGTTGGAAAGTGGATGGATTGATGGATGGATGGATGAATGGGTGGATGGGTTCATAATTTTTTTATTTAGAAACAGTAAATATTATCATTATCATGTTGCAAAATGAGGAATTTCCCATTCAAATTCTGTTTTCATTTTTCTTAAAATGAAAATGAAAACATTTAAATATTATTTTAACATAAAAATATTTTGAATGGCTAAGCAATGAAAGAAATACTTATAGAGCACCTTCATAGGACGACTGATCTTTGGCTAAGGAGAATCTAAAGACTCGGGGGGGCCTCCAATTCACCTCCCCCGACATGGTAAAATTTCTAGATTAAGAAAAAAAAAAAATTAGCTCGGTCCATTTTGTGAAGAAAAAAAAATAATAATCTGTAATTGGTCTGAATTTTATTATGCCCAGCAGTGACTTATCCAAGCTAAGCAGCTAACCGTAGCAAACTCCTTAGAAACAAACTACCTCCTACCTCCTGACTTACTGGCTAAACCAGTTAATTAACATAGACGAATATGGACTGTTACATTTCTTAAACCAAAGACATCAAATTAAGTTACTAAAATAATAATTAACCTACATTGCAATGACGCTAGCAAGACATGGATGAATAAGGCTACAAAACAAGCCAGTTAGTGAGCTAACTTAATTAACCAATGGTTAGCTAATGTTAGTTTATGTTAACATCGGCATGCTTAATTGAGTCAACAATCTAACTATTTCTTACCACCATCTGCTTCTTTTTCCCTCCTTTTCTTGTTTTTTCTGCATTTTGTTTACAGATAGCTAAATTCTCTTCTAAAAACAGCACCGACTGCATTTATTCAAAGAAGGCTTACCACAAGCATTCTTGCAAATGGGGCCCCCTTAGGGTGGTTTCTGACTGCGGCGTTGCAGTATGTCAATCTTATGCCTCTAGGGGCTTCCTCAAGATTTGTCGTTGCAATGTACTATGTAATTGGCCACCTTGGGGTGCCCTTGACTAACTTGGGGCCACAGAAAATTCCCTGACTAGCCTTTCTGTTGCTATGTCTCTGACCTCTGCTCATCCACCTCATGTACGAAGGCCATGAGGAGGGATTAGCCCCCCTAGTGGAGGCCTCAGGAAATGCCTGTCAGTCACTGCAGGCGCAAGGCAGCCAATGCTGAGCCGCTTTCGGTTCCCCGGCGAATCCTAGCCTGCGTAATTGCATTTCCAATAGAAGAGAAAAGTAAATGAGAAAACCAAGTCGGAGAGCCATCAGTGGGAATGCTATTTTATCCTTGGGCACCGTTAATAGAGGAAAAAAATATTGAGACAGATAATGCCATGATTGATGATTTCACTTAATATGCCCCCCCCCCACCCCCACATTGAGAGTAGCGTCCAACGGCCAAGTCAGCTTCTCATCTCTGATGTCAGCCGCCGTCCGCAGATTCAGGGGCCGCCATGAAGCTCCCTGGTTCACTGCTCCCACCTTGTTATTCTGAGTGAATGTCCCCCCACACCTTACTGTACAGTTGTGCATTTTATTGTTCCTGGGGGGGGGGGGATCCCAGGGAAATACATCTTCCTTTTCATTTCTTTCTTTGACCCTCTTCTTCTCCCATCAGCCATCCCAAAGAACACCACGATTCCCGGGCCCCCATAAATAATTGTGAGTGAATTCTAGCGGCGACATCAGCATTCCGCTCGTGTCGTAGCTGCTTGGGGTGCAGGGCCATCTGCTGCTATTGACTGTACAATCGTAATATGTTGCAGTCTGTATGCCCCACAGGACTATTCCTCCTCGCTTTAAACAGTGGACAGGGGGAGTGGTCTTAGCCTATGATTTGACCGCTTACAAGGCAATTCATGCCCCAAAAGCAGCATTTTATCCTCATCCAAACTCTTATCTTCCTTCTTGGCTATTCTAACCAATGTTATGACTGAGCCTTTAGTTGGTTCCTTGCTTCTTAGTGTGTTAAGCAATTTTGGAGGACCGAGGTCTCCTTCCACAGCTTTTCTCTTGAATCTGGGACTCCACTGCAGCCAATGAGATCACAAGGATACGTTCCACAGTCAATGTTTACCAACAAACGCTTTCTCCATCTGCTTGGCTCGGTGGCGAGCGGATCGAGCCAGACTTTGTTCTAACACGTCGTGTAAGTGTAAAGTAATTATCATAACAGGAAATAAAGATGCAAGCTCATCCCTGCCTTAGCCATAAGCGCCACAGATTGGCATTCTGCGATGACGGCGTATCACATTCCCACAGCGTGGGAAATTTCTCTGCTCTGGGGACGAGGGCGGCAGAGCAGCAGCTCTGTGACGGGCCCGACAGCTTCCAGGCAGGCGAGCTGCCATGCGAGACGCAGACAGTGTCCACCCACGCGGCCGAAGTGAAAGGGGCGCAGCTGTGATAGCGAAAGCTGATGCGCGGTGCAGCTGCAGAGCCGGCCAGGTAAGGAGGCTTTCTGAATGCAACTCGCTGACAACAGCCACAGCATCCCCCTCCACCTGCAAGACGGGATAATAACCTCTGCGTTTTCCTATTATATAATACCAAAATAAATATATAGGATGCATATATAGAACTGACAGAATAAATACAAGGGGGAAAATGTGCAGAAATGCTAATCCCTTGCTTGCGATATGGGGCTTTGAAAGCTGGCCCCTGGTATCCATGGCAACAGCTGAAGGAATCTCGGGCATTTTCAAAAACAGATGTGGAGAATGGCAGAAAAATGGGCCGAGAGAGAAGGGAAGAGGGAAAAAAATAAAATGAGAGATATTGTTGGGATGGTACCTGGGAGGAAGGGTTTAAGCAGACCTGCCACCCGGTCTCTCTACAGTGAAAGAAATATATCAGTCTGTATATCAGTCATGTATAAGTAAATGTATATCATATATATATATGGCAGGGAAGAGAAATGGATAGAGCAAAGGAGAGAAAAGTAACAAATGATGTGGGGAAGAACAAGACTAAGTAAGAATGGAAATATAAGACACAGTAACAGTTGGAATGAATCCAAGGGTTCCTGAGCAACAGAGCCCGTAAGAAATTGCATCATAACTGGATTGGTCTGGTTTGGGGGGCCAATATGAAATACTTTCATGGGGCCCAAAATCTCTAGCAGTGCCCTTGCAGACAGTTGGCTGGGAGTGGGGGTGGGGGGGGGTTCTCTCAACCACACAGGGATTGGTGTGACCCCACCTCCAGGCAAAGCAGCATCTCCATCGGGTTAGAATGAGCTCTCAGACAGCAGCATCCGCATACCCTAGACAGGCATCAAGGTTACAGCACAATCAACAACAGCGTTATTTAAAAAGTATTGCAAATAAGTCATGCAAAGCCAGGTGGGTGAAATGGCTTAATTGGGAAAAAAATCCTCAATGTCCAGATGGCAGATTTTCTATCTGTAAACATGACTAAGCGCTGCGTTCTGAAACATCTTGGGCACTGAGCGCGGCAGGCGGAATTTATCATTTATTTTTATAGGTCTGTGATACAAACCGCGAGTCATTGGCTAATGAAAGAAATATGGCAGGGACGCTGTAACACATAGGCTGGGAACAGGGAAGCAGGGTAAGCACTGCAGCACATGCGTGGCGAGAATCCTGCCGCCAACCTTCTGCTTTCGTAGGGGATGCTAACGAGCTAACAAGTGTGGCACATGCATGGAGAAAATCACACCACCAGCCTCTGGGTCTCGTAGGGGACGCTAGCCAGCTAAACACCACGGCACATATATGAGAGAATCCAGCCATGCTCGCCATAAGACTCCCACTCTCATAGGGGGCGCTAATGGGCTAAACACCACAGCATAAATATGGGGATAATCCTGCCATGCTCGCCATAAGGCTTTCTCTCTCATAGGGGACGCTAATGGGCTAAACACCATGGCACACATATGAGAGAATCCCTCCATGCTCGCCACAAGCCTTTCATTCTCATAGGGGGCGCTAACGGGCAAAACACCACAGCATACGTATGGGAGAATCTTGCTGCACTCATTGCTCTCGCAGGACATGCTAACATCAGTGCAGTGAGACTACGTGAACCGCCTACAGCCGACGGCATCTGCTTCCAACATCTGTCACTGTCATTTCGGTTGATAAAGTGCTTTTCGTGCTGAACTGACATGGGCCGTTTCAGAGGCCAATGGAGAAGTGGATTTCATTTGTGCATTTATGTTGTGTGCGTGCAAGTGAGAAAGCTCCGTCAGATACAGATTATTTCTTCTTTTACATTTAGTATATAGTAGTGTCGTTTAAATTACAGGCAGAACTATAAAAATTAGATTTGATCTAATTCAGGTGAAGTTGTCAGATTGAAGGACAAGTCAAGGCACAGGGAATCATGGGGGGAATCACAGTGGGAACGAGGCAGCTGGCAGTTTTGCCCACGATGGAAGCTTGCAGAACTGTCTACAGCTTCATGAGGAGTTTTAAATTTTTAGGGTGCACAAGAAAAAAATCATGCAAAAATGTAAAATTGTCATTGTGATGTGAAATTGTAATGTGCATAGGAGTGCAAGTCAGACGTGAGCTTTGATGATGGTTTACTGGCTAAACAAAAGCATAAAACATAAGTATACATGCTGGTGGAACAAATCAATATTAACAATCACTGTCACCTGACTCTCCCGCCCTCCAGAGACAGATGGTGAGCAAACCCCTATAATTTTCACAAAAGCTTTATCCATTTTTCTTTGCTAAATTGTTCAAATGCTACGTTATAAGATCTACAGGGTTACATAACTGCACAGTTACGCTTTTTCAAGGACGGACAAACCGAGCTGTACTGTTGCTTGTCGTAGCAGATTCCTCCAGTTTTATTAAGGGTGATTTCCATATTTTCACATCCCACATTTGCATATTCTTTTTCTATTTACTTGGCCTTTTAGCAAAGAAATTCAGGTTAAATATCTTGCTCAAGGATGCAACTCAAGTTGCCCCACTGTGGTGTTCAACAGGCCATGCTAACAGGCTTAGTTGTCTAAGCTCTACCACAAACTGCTGCATCGCTAAATATCATATATTCTGAGCCCCCCCGGACTGTGAGCTGAGCTCAGATTAAGCTGTCTGCTAGACAACTCTGAGTACCACATCTTATAGAAAGAGAATCCCATGCATCTCTGTATCTCTCTTATTGGGGCCAGGACCCAAAAACTCCAGCCACATTGGGTAGACATTGGGCTAATTAGCATTTAGCTATGTTGGTGTCTTCCTCCTGCATCCCTTCTAGAGAACTGAACAGTGTGAGTGTGTGTGGGGGGGAGTAATGTATGTATTACATTATAGGGACCACATTTCCCCCCAGTGTGATAAAAACCTGTCAGTTTCATGTTGTGGGTACCATCTGTGACCAGTGTTGTAGCCATACACGTGTATGCACCCCCATCACGAGAATGTAAAATTTATTGCATGCAAAATTCAGAAATATTTATGTTTAAGACCTGTAAGTCATCAAAACGCATCCTGTGCTCATGATTAGAAGTCTACTTACTTATGTATACATCTTGTGACAGTTAATAATGGTTTATTGCTGTTTTGCGCACGCGTGACAACTTATTCTTCCTATCTACTATAAGGCGTTAAAAATCGCACAGCAAATAGACTATCAGTTTACTGTATTTTCAATTTCAACATCATTCTAAAATCACTGTATTCTCAATGAATTCGCTAAAATGTCTGTGATTATGTATCATTTAAAATATAGACAGTTTGTTGATAAACCTGTTATTAAGAAACACCAAGAAAGGTTTGGCCGTACTGCAGTTGGGTGCACTGGGAACCAGAAGGTGAAGATTTGGATACGCGTGGTACATGCCCACTGTTGAAAATTCTGGCTACGTCACTGTCTGTGACTGCAATCAAGAAGCTAAAAATGTGTTGTATTTCGTTTGGTTATTTAAGGTCATGGATGTGTAGGGTTAGGGTCGTCATTTTTGGGATCAAGGTTTTCCCCTGAAATTAATGTACGGTCCCCACAAAGATATGAATATAAACACATGAGAATGGTACCCTAAAGATGAGAGGAAAGATTGTATCCTGCCTTAAAACATGAAAGGTAGCCACGTCTGGGTGTTGATGCAGTCAGGTTTACAAACATTTGTGAAAGAATTGGTCATTCTGAAGAGCTCAGTGAATTCAAGCGTGGTACTGTCACAGGATGCCACCTTTGCAAGTGAGTTTGTGAAATTTCTAAGTGGTGTTATTGCAAAGTGGAAGCGTTTAGGAACAACAGAACTCAGCCATGAAGTGGGAAACCATGTAAAGTAACAGAGCAGGGTCACCGAGTGCTGAGACGCACAGTGCATAAGTCACCAAGGCTCAACAATTTCAGGTTCTGAGCTTCCTCTGGCATTAATCCCAGCACAAAAACTGTACACCGGGAGCTTCATGGAATGGGCTTCCATGACTGAGCAGCTGCATGCAAGCCTCACATCACCAAGTGCAATGCAAAGTGTTGGATGGAGTGATGTAAAGCACGCTGCCACTGGACTCTGGAGCAGTGGAAACGTGTTCTGTGGAGTGATAAATCATGCTTCTCTGTCTGGCAGTCTGATGGACGAGTCTGGCTTTATCAGATGCCAGGAGAACGTTCCCTTGCCTGCCTGTATTGTGCATCTGTAAAGTTTGTTAGAGGAGGGATAATGGTATGGGGTTGTTTTTCAGGGGTTGGGCTAGGCCTAGTAGTTCCATTCAAGTGAACTTTTAATGTTTCAGCATAGCAAGACATTTTGTACATTTCACACAGACACACTCTAAAATCTTGTGGAAAGCCTTCCCAGAAGAGTGGCAGCTGTTATAGCTGTAAAGGGGGGACCAACTCCATATTAATGCCTATGGATTTGGAATGGGATGTCATAACAGTTTTGCATTATTTTGGGTGTTATATAAATAACCATGTACACATAAACTCCTCTCCCAAAAATACATCTTAAAGCCAAACAAATAGGCCCACCCACTCTGTCCCCCACCCCACCCCCCGCATCCAATAATCTTCCCTCTTCTACGGAATAGAACTAATAAAATATTAAGCTAACACGGCCGGCCTTTCTTTAACTGACTAGGTTACCTGCAGCTCCGGGACTGGTTATCACCATGGCAACACACATGCCACCGCAACTCTGACCTTGGCTCACTATATATCACTATATATGGCGTGAGGCCTTTTACTACTCTGCACCATATAAGATATGCCTTGCTTTGGCTGAATGATGGTTGTACAGGCAGGTGGTTGATGGTAGAACAAATGTCAACGACTGTCAGTTTTACTTTTCATGTCATGGACTGTTATCATTACGGTTTGGATCCAGAAAGGGCTGTTGTGTATGCGGAGTTTCACTGCATCTCCCTAATTAGATTACTGATTGGCTGAAGAGTCCTCACACCTGGGTTTGATGAGCTGACCTGAAGGTTATCCCAAAACCCTGCATAAACACCGGCCCTTTG